AGACCTGAAATTCTTCATATGGTTGAATGAATAAAATTATTACTTCTAGTATTAGATACTTAAGTTGAATTAACTAATGTTTGACAAGATATACTTACGAAATAGATCAAAAATAAAATTACTAATATAGTGTTTATTATTAGATATTTAAATAAAAATGATAAAACTAAGAAAATACTATGATTATATGGATGTTTAATTTACCTTGATTTTTACATGATGAAAATATTGAATTATGTGTTTGAGTCGAAAAAAAACGAAGTTAGAAAATGATTTGATTCTTGATGAAATGACGATAAAAATGCATTTATTAGTCGATTTAATCTTATTGAAGTCTATCTGGAATTGAATGAATAATTTCATGTTAATGTGATTTTTAATAATAGAAGTATAGAATGATAAAACTATTCCAGATTTACTTACATCTTTAGATAAAAACAAAAAAAAAACTATTTTTTATTTTTGATATTGATTATATTTTTATCTCCAATATTTATTTATCAAGCAAAGAAAAAACCTTGATTGAAATATAATCTTTCAAGACCTTGTTTTTTTTTTTTTTCGTTCTTGATATTGAATACTCAACTAAAAACTAAATATATATTCCCATTGGAGTGGTAATACAATATATAAAGCAATGATTAATTGAATTATTGTAATGATTATATTCGTTGATAATCAAGATCAAATTTCGATTTATATTGAAGTTCTATACTAATTTAACCAGAAAAAAAAGTAACTGTTTTAATTTATTACTTTTAACGTAAAATTTTACTGTTCTAAAGCAAATATTAAAGAAAAAAAAACCTTACAAAGTAATACTACGTTAAGTTTTTATACTTATATTTTTCTACATATGAAGATTTAACAAGTAGCAAATTACTACATACGGAGACGAAATCTTTAGTTCTTTCTTTTTCATTTATGATAAAATGTTGCTCTGGTAGGCAGTGGCGTACGTAGGGGGGGGGGGGGCGAGCCCCCCCCCCCCCCCGGAACGAACAATCCTGGAGGGGGGGCGGGGCAAAAATTGTTTGGTGGGTAGAAAGTGTTTTTCGCGGCCGGGGGGGCGCCCCCCCCCCCCCCCCTGAGACGAAAAGTCCTGAAGGGGGTACAGGAAAAAATATTTTCGCGTGATAAAAAATTTTTTGTGCCATGGCGGGCCCCCCCTTGAAAAATTTCTGCGTACGCCACTGCTGGCAGGCTAATGTTTTTTATTAACTTGCATACTTTCGCTATTACAATATGAGTGTGATTAGAGTTAATTGTTTATCTCTTGGTAAATTGTAATAAGTAACTTTTACGAAGGATACCTATATGGAGCAATTCAACAATTGCCTATTAGAAATTATTAAGAGGTAAATGATCAATTGTGATCACAAACATATTGTGATGACGAAATTATGCAGGCTAGTGGCAACATTTTCTTATAACAACATTTCATAAGTACAAAGCAAATCAATATTCCGCATCTGCTAGACAATAGTAACAATTGTCTTTATTTATCTTTGGAAAAAAGTAATTTGTCAATTACAAAACACTTCTTATCGTCGGTCATATCATTTGATTGATTGGAGTCATTGCTTGATCGATGTATGTTTGCGCATGCAATATCATTGGCAACACGAAGTAACATTTTCATTCTATCATCTATAACATGTTCTAAACTATCTAAACGTCTATAGATAAAAACAAAAAATAAATAAAAAAAAAAAATTATAATATAAAATTTAATGTAAATATCTCACATTTGTAGAAGTGCTAATTCAGCATCAACATCTGCCATACTTCGTACAGGACCATTTTCATATTTTTCTAATGGACTATTAAAAAACAAAAAAAAGAAAATTTTGTATATATTATGATCTCATCAAGTTTTTACGTCATTTTTGTTGGTGGTGAATTTGTTTCTTTTCTTGATAATAAATTTTCTGATTCTTTAGCTTGAGAATCAACTGTAGTTGGTTTAGGATTTGTTGATATTGCAACAAGCGTTGAAAAGGCACTTGCTAATGTTCCTAAAAATTTATTGAATATGAACGTATATAATATTATATTTAATCTTCATATATATATATATATTAACCGTGAGCTAAAGGTATCAAAGAAGTCATTGTTTCTTCTCGTCCAAAGTCAAGATCTCTTGGTAATGTTTGTGCTTGTTCAGGTGATAATTCAACAATAGTTGTCATTTGTCGTCGTATACTAGAATCAGTACTCATATGTATACCACGATAAGATCGTGAAGTAGAAAAGCGATTTGCTTCTAGAAAAAACAAAAAAGAATTATTTTATGAATTTCTTCTTTTATAAATTTACCATCATCTCGTGGATTAAATAGAATTAATTGTCCTTGAGGTTGTAATTTTGGATTACGTTCTTTAATAAGTATTTGAATATCATTATCTAATTTATAAAATGGTTTTGATTCATTTAATTCACACTATAAAAGAAAACAAAAATAACAGACATGAATTTTTCTTATTCGATTAGATTTATTTAATTTTACTTGTCGAAGATCAAATGTTACACGAAATCGTTCTATAAATGATTTAGCAAAATCAGGATAAAGTTTTAAAACTTGAAGTAAATCATCTCGATGAATTTTATTTAATGTACAATACGTTAAACCTTTTTTTTTCAAAAAAAGAAAATTTTCAAAGTTTACAATCCAATAACTTTATTTAAAAAATACCTCTAGCAACACATCTTGCTTTTCCTGGTGTAATTGTATTACATGGATTTTCACCAAGAATATCATTACGACCTAGTATAGCTTGTAATTCATTATTTTGTAATATTTCCATTTGACCACCACGAATAAAATAAATTGAATTGAGAACATCACCTAAACATACAACAATAGACAATTGATTAATTTATATCTAGTTGACTGTGTAGGATATAATAATCAAAAATAGAAAATCGGTGAAAGTTATAAGTAGATATGGTTACAATTTTGATAGTAAAATGAATTTATTGAACATATAAACTTGTAGAATAGACGAAATATTCTTGAATTAAAAACAATAATGAATCTCTAAGAAAGACAGAGAGAGACAATATTAGAAACCATAACTATCGAGCAAGATATCTCAAGTGCAATGACACTGTCCAAAAAATTATTTCACATTTTTTTCCCTACACTAAAAACGATGAGTTTCTGTCAGTAATAGTTGTAAGAAAGATCATTTTATGTAACCAAATAAAAATTAAAGTCTTTAATAGAAACAATAGTCTATTAAGGCCTCCCCCCCCCTCAAAAATCGCGCTCGGCCCGGGTCCATTCGACACAGCTGAAATTTACGGGATATGTTGAAGGCATTAAGAGAAGTCCGTGAAAAA